CGGATCTTCTAGCTGCCCGTGGGATTATGTCGAAATTCTTGACGGTAACTCACTGCAGAGTCCTAGTCTTGTCAAGGCGTGCGGCCAGTTGGCATGGTGGAGATTGTACAGTAGTGGGAGGTTCCTCATGGTGCTGTTCAATTCGGACGTTATCATCGGGATGCCTGGATTTTCTGCTTATTACCGAGCTTCATATTACAGTAAGAGGAATAAATCAATTTATTTAAAACCTTTCTTAAATAACAATATTTAGATGAAAGTAACGTGGTGTAAATGAAATATTTTAAGGGCTCCAGGTAAAGTCAATTTGAATTAAAAATCTAAAGCAAAATGCAAGTTTAGACGGTAGGTCGAGTCGCACCTTCCAAGTACTAAATTGTTTTGTGCTTAAAGAGTTTTAAATACTTTAATAGAAATAACCTACGACTGACTCTTAGAATCATTAACAACATATTGCACTTACTGTAAGCAGTTTTTTTCCTTAACATATACGAATTAAAGCTCTTCCTCATACGCAGGATACAACATTTCATTACCAAGCCAACAAGTGTCAATAACAAGCCCAGTGCAGTGTTTTCCTACGCAGACACAAACTGCCACTCCTGTCACGTCAAATGGTAAGTGAACGAAGCCTGTGCTCTTAACGAACGCCGTTTTTTAATGATTTGCACTTATCTATCCAGAGTCTGCCATATTTTTCTGAAAAAATTTCTCGCCCAAACGTAATTTCTTTTTAAACCTTCAGTTTGTCACATAATGATCATGTTTCGAAAAAAATTCTGTTACGAACGCACCGTTAAATTATCAGCATACATTTACTTTGCCATTGATTTCTAAAATACGCCAAGAAATAGCTTAAATCTAACAGTAATTTACAGTGATACAATACGTGACGAAAATTGAACGGAGAAAGGACAGAAAGAACGTAATGACAGTTAGAATAGGTGTACAAAACGAAAACTCATGAATAAACCGACGTTTGGCGTAAAAACTCCCAGAAGTGATTATTATGTAACTTCTCCCTATAATATCCATACATCATCCAGCAAACAGGTGACGAGAGTACTCAAACTTATCAGGAAGAAGTTGTTATCTTAATCTAACACCTAATTCTGTTTAGCAACTAAAGGGGAGTTAACAACCAGACTGGAACTCTAGCTATAACTAAAACAGCTGAAAGATCATGCAACAAGTACAAAAATTTACAAGTTTTGAATTAATTATTTACGCCAAAAGACTTAATCGGATACACCGAATACATCCACGGACTAAGTGAGTGAGGATAGAATTAACAGTAAAAGAGCTGTCTACGCTTGTTTTTAGTGCACGGAATCCAACCGACACGTGCTTCTGCAATGAGAACGACCTTCTATGCTGCTTCAAGTGTAAACGTCCAGCCAGATCCTTCCCAGTTCCAGTTTCATTTACCGGCACAATGCGAACAACGTTGTCACAACACGTTAGGAAGTTACACCTGCTCTTGCGTTAGTGGATACCAACTGGCCGCAAACGGGAAATCGTGCTTAGGTAAAATTGATTCTAAGCAAATAAGTTTTAAGACGTTTTGTTTTTGATACATTCTCATAGTAGAACAAAAACAAAACAAAACAAAACTTTTTTCGACGCGTGTGCGATTGAAATAACAGATCGTTATGTTTTTCGTGTTCAGCTTTAATCCCAATTTATCATTTGACGCGTGCTAACCGTTTTATACTTTACCAAGGTTCCGGATCAATGAGCCCTCTACACCCATACATCACTGTGCAAATTCTCCATACTGTTCTACAAGGAGAATTTGTGGAACTTCTTTTGTTGGTGATCATTTCCTTTATTCTCATGTCTTTATGTGCAATTCACGGGTGATATTGTAGGGAGAAATTAAACGCTATTCATTCTTAGGGTTCACCATATAGACCTCAGAATGTCCAAGTTACTCTCCTCGTCTCGTGCGCGCTTTCCGTTCTCCTTAAGTACCCATGGCAAGTTTATCTTACAATTTTAATGTTTGAGGTGGCTGTGTGTTTCTCTCCAATTTTATAGCTTTTTTCCCTTTTGCGCAGACGTTGATGAATGTTCGATCAATAATGGTGGCTGCAGCCATCATTGTTACAATATCCCTGGATCATTTTATTGCGGCTGTCCGGAAGGAACCAGTATGGGTGCTAACAACTTGACTTGTGTTGGTAAGGAATGCTAAGCTAAACTTTCTGCATATAACTACTGAGGGAAAATTCTACCTCTGTTAAGAATGGGAATAAACAACGATCAACAATGAAAGACGACTGACCGTTCCTGTAATGCATGTATATTTTTTCGGGAAAAATAAGATTTTTTTATCCAATGTAACAGCAGGCTTGACAAGATTTCAGCAGAACTAATACGTCTTAGGAATTTATTTTGTTATCCCTTCTGTCCAAAATATACACATGTGTTCGCTCATTTGGATGGAAAGCAGAAAAACATTGTGGATGCGTGGTACTTTTTTTGTGACTTAACCAACCCAAAGTTATTATTGATAAGGCACGAGTAGTTGGGACACATTAAAATCCTGCTAAATTTAAGGCTATTGCTTGTTAATTTCATCTTAGAACCTGGTGTGTCTGTTAACTGCAGTGACATTATAACGGTTGCCTTAGAAAAGAAGACGTTTCCATTTTTTGACGTTGCCCGACTACACTTGAGGTACTCCTCGTGTAAAGCCACACAGAATGACACCCATCTGCTGATCAGCACTCCTTTGAACGGTTGCGGAACACTGTTGAACGAGACTGAAGATGACCTTATCTTCTGGAATGAAATCCGAACGGAGGTGATCCTTATCGACAATGTCATAACTAGATCACATGACGTCAAAATTCCATTTTATTGTAGTTATTCGAGAAGGAAATGGGTCAACCTGGGTTTCAAGCCTCAGCATCTACACTTTGGAACAGAAGGTAAATGAAACTTTCCAGCTCTCGTTGTGATCACTCCAAGTCAGCAACATGTATCTTTTGCCAAGGGGTGCTTTCCATCCTAAGGAAGATGCCATCCCTTTATCTCTAGAGTGGAATGCAGATTTGTTTTAAAATTTAACACGTTTATGTGCTAAATGACTTTATCTTTTCCGCTTTCCAGCTGGGTATGGAAACTTTACCTTTAAAATTGACTTTTACAAGAGTTCGTCATTTGCCACACCCTATACTGAGCAGGACTACCCTCTGAGCGTGGCTGTCAATCAGTACTTGTACGTGAGATACAGTGTAGAATCCAGTGCTGATCTGGTGATAATGGCTGTGACATGTAGGGCCACTAAAACTGGAAGCTTGTACTCCTGGCCACAATACTCTATTGTACTGAACGGGTATGTATGGCACTCGAACATATTAGTGTGAATGGTCTGCCTGGAAAGATACGCAAGTTGCAGTCAATTTAATCAACGATTCACTATTTCATATCATCTAGATTTCTTTCTATATATAACATCTATATGCTTTAAAAGTTTTGTAGTCCCCTGTGCTGCGAATGCTTACGTTTAAGTGTAAAGTATAGAGGAGGTCGGTGTTACTAAAAAACAACTCCGAATGTTTTACTGATTCTAAGAAGTAATGAACGGGTGGACTTGGACCATATAGGCCATCATCACATCGTGTTTCTGGGGAAAGGTGTTATATCACAAAAACAAAATCCTTTTTACATTTCCTTACCAAATATTCAAGCTTTTGAAAGCTAAAATTACCCAGAACATTCTTAGGGAAGTTTTTTTTTAATGGCAGCATGCATTAGAAAGAAACAAACTGAGGTGACAGTGAGCAAAATGTTCTACATGTGCGCATGAATTTCAACTTACTTCTTACTTTCACTACCAACAGATGTCCGCAAGATACCAGCATGGAATACAACTTTGATCCTCAAAGGAATTACCAGCAGTTTAAAATCAGAGCGTTCAGATTCTTTAACGACTACGATCAGGTGTACATTCACTGCGAAGTTTTGGCCTGTCATAAATACTCTTCAAACTCCAGGTGAGTTACTGGTACAGAAATACTTAGGCAAGGAGATGCCGAATAAACATTTATCACTTACGAATATCAAAACCATCATTGAGAAATTTGAGTGCAATATGATTTCATCACTCACAATATAACAAAGGCGTTCGAAGCCCATTCAAATCTTCCTCAACAACTTTGACAGATGCACCCAAAGTTGTTTAGGCAGTAAGAAGAGAAAGCGGAGGGATGTTACCCGTGACGAAACAGAACATGAAGAGAGTACTACCAAAGTCACTCTTACACGAGGACCACTGATATTTCAACAGGACGAAGAACCAGCAGGCAAGTTCACATATAATATGAAAAGATAAGGGATATTGAAATAGATAAGGTTTTCTCAAATACTGCAAAGCTTGTGTCAAACATGTCAACAACGCTGTCTTGTCTAAATTTCAAATTTAGGTAGTTTGTCACTGATTTAAAAATAATAATGATGATGAGGAAAGCTTTCAAAACACGACTTAAAAAAGGAAATTCAGGTCCTAATATGTAACTCGCATTTTCACTTAATTTTTCTATTGTCAAAAATAAAAATATGAGTATTGAAGGACTTGGAAAATAGATAAACTAAGACGATTTTAAATCAAGTCAACAGTTGATTTTAGTTTCTTGCTTATAGATATTAAGTTATTTCCTTCTCTCTTTTCCACAACTAATTTCATTAACAGAAATAAGGCAAATTAGATTGAGTCATTTTTTAACTTTAAATGCCTTCCTTTCTTCGGTCTTCGCTTGAGCTTTGATTCCTCTCCTGCATTCAAATTTCAGACACAGGTCAAAACAAGCAAACTGCGCTGATTGGTGGCGTAGCAGGCGCTGGAGGATTTGCTCTGGTTGCAGTTGCTGCATTGGCTGTTTTATTTGTCAAGTACCGCATTGCACGACGGTTCATGAACAGAAACAAGGTTGGAGACCAGTACGCAACCCAAGATGAACAACTGAGCAGAAGAAATGCCTACGTTCAGCCTGAAGATATGGTCGAACAAGAAGACTCCTTCTAAATACAAGCTTTTTTCAGGGCTCACTTGCTCAAAGGACAGATAACGCTATCCGACGGACAAATCACTATCCAGTGGAGAAGTGTGTTTAAACCGTACTGCGCTATCCACTGGATAGGGATTTATCCAGTAAGAAAGCGTTATCCACCCTTTGAACAACCGAAGCCTGCATTGTTTACTTATTTCCTTATCAAACAGCAAATACAAATGAAGTTCAAGAAATTTCTTTCGGCAGTTACGAGGTTTGAGTGCTTTCATTGCAACCTCTGATAAAAATAAACCTTCTCATCTAACTCCTGAGCAATTTAGCCTCAGGCTTACGTAACTTTTTTGTTAACTTACACCTTTAAAGCGTGCAGTCTCTTACAGACTGCAGGCCTTACTTTGAATAGATCGCTTTCAATTATACACAGAGAGAATGTTTTAAAGAATATGTAAGCCAAAACTGTATAGATCTTTGAGCTGTACCTTAATTTAAGAACCTTTCACTGTTGAAAGGTAACTTTTAGAAAGAAAACAAAATTGAATAGGGAAAGTTGTTTTTCACAAAGCTGGTTATCATTTCTCATTTTCAAACCTGCCTTTTCATTCGCATTTTTGTGTTCATTAGTTTTAGTCGCTTAAAAATATTGAAAAAATTAAATGAGTGCACTTCACATCTTGACTCTCGAATGTAACCAAAAGCTAAAATAAGTCAACACAAGACAATGTTTCAACCACTTTGAAACAATCCCAGAGATGGAAAGAACACACTAATCCGCTTTGAACAGTAAAGGTCAGTAGCTGTTATTCCAAATGCCGTCTTACTACTCCGAATCCTTCCCATTGTGTCTATTGTGAGCGGAAGTTAGCTGCTGAGAGTGTGGATAAAACAACTCTATTTTGACGACAGACAGCGAAATCTTAGACCTTTGACGGTTCAAAATTCAAAATAACAAGAGAAACGAAGAGACTTAGCCTTTGTTCTTCATTAAAGTCTACAATTTGGCGAATATTTAAAGAAACCAAATTTTATCTAACATCAAAAATTTAGCGCGTAAACTGTGCCCCTTAGAGTGCTCACATACCAAAAAAATAATAATTTCCATTTTCCTTTTTTCCAGGCACTCACCTCGCTTTAGTGAAATTTAATTTCACGGGTACTCTGTGATTGATATACGTTTTAGTGCACGTGTCACGCAATCGGGTTACACTTCCGCTCCCAAAGGCCTAGTAAGTTTTCAATTAATTTTGGGGTTATAGTCGATATCACTTACCACTATGTCATTCACGTCTTCGAGACTAAGGATGGAATCCTGGATTGAAGCTGTTATGATTCTTTTGCCTTTGATTTTACCTTCGTTTGGTAGTGAAGGTAATGTTCTAAATCAATTCTGAACGTTAAATTACTTTCCGGCGATTTCTAGCAAAGCAAATCATTTGTACTTAATCAATGTTAAGGATGTCTTAATGGTCCTTTTGGTCGTGAGGACGCGACTGAGCGCTGCTCAATCAGATCAAATTACTTGTGTTTGACGATCGATGTTTTGGACACCTTTCAACGAAAAGTGGACTCATTAATTCTTCATTTTATCAGAGAGCGACCAAGAGCTGTATATTGCTTTCCTAAATAATACCGAACGTTGATCCCTGATACTGATTAACAATGCTATTGCATTCGAAAATTGTAAACAACAATTATTTGCGCTAACCATGTGTTTACCAACGTGCTTCTGAGCTCAAATAACCAGGGGTTCTTACGATCAAGGGTCTTAAAATCAGGGGTTCCTACGATCAGGGGTTCTTACAATCAGGGGTTCTTACAATCAGGGGCTCTTGCAATCAGGGGTTCTTACGATCAGGGGTCTTACAACCAGGGGTCTTACAACCAGGGGTTCTTAGGATCAGGGGTTCTTACAATCTGGGGTTCAAATCAACGTGTCTTACATGACGAGTCTGTGCCCAGATGTTGATATTGATCGTAAAATCT